GATAAAATACATTGGAGTAAATAATTTTGTAATTATTTAACATTTTTTGTCCTTTCCTATTTGTTTTTGGCTACATTAAAGCATTTTTTTGAAAATATACAGTAAGGTTCCATATTACCACCCGATTTTCTCTAAGCCTACTTTTGGACTTTTTGTACAAAAGCCTTCAAAAACCATACTTATAATTACACTAGCGAAAAATCTAATTAGGAACATTTAGTTTACTAGTTACCAGTACTTTCTGCACAAAAAATGTGGGTGTAGTTATGATACCTTGTTTACAATTCACTAAAATGTAATTGGGGTTCCATAATACCACCTTCTCCTCTATTAATCATCTGCATATTGAAAATTAGACAAAGTTTATTAACTCAAACTTCAAAGATCGAAGATAATTTTACCAAGAAACGGGAAATTTTAATCTACTTAAACCCTTTGAATTCTAAAAGTAAAAGAGTCTATTTCTCGAGTTCGAACATTGTAAACAGACGATGATTTACACAAGGGAATGAGCTTTTTGTGAAGTTTTGCTTAGTCATTGTCTCCATTAAGACAATTGAAACTTTTGTTAATTAAATACTTTTAGATTAAATATTCTAGAAAATTTATATATAAAAATTCACTAAGAGTATGTTTATTTGACGCGAACATATGTCATGAAATAACTACAAATAACAGACAGAAAATTTACTTATGTCACTTATCACGTTATTTTTTAAGCTTTCGATAACAGTACAGCATCGCTTTCTTTTTCAATTTTTGTTATAAAAGAGACACATACGATAGTCAATGACAAATTACGTAAAATTATTTTGCGCCCACACATGTAGAAACGTTATATACAGAAAACAATAGAACTACTTACCGACTCTGCACCTCTAGATCCGCCATTTCTTCAGCTCGTTTCCGCACTGAACTCTCGAGTATGACGTCGAACAACGGAGGCAACACGCACTTAGAACTAGAAATAAATCACCACGGTAATTGGCTGCAGATGCCACATGACTTTGACGTCACCGCCTCTTTGCAAAAGCACTTAATTTTATAATTGCATTACTTGTATATTTTGTATATCCAACATTATAACTGTCTTTATATGTGTATTTATTGTGATCTCACATACACGTATCTAAGAAATTAGCATATACGTGGACCATTACGTGCTTACGAGTAACAGCATGACGTTGAAGTCACTTTGCACTCAATTAAAGCCTTCATAATTTACATATTGGTGCGTTAGTTTTATATTGACACGGTTGTTGTTTCGAGTTCCGTTAGAGTGAATGTGATTTTCTTTTTACACTATAATTTTTTATTCTTAATTGAAGTTTTTAGACTATTTGCAAAGAATTAAATTTTTCGAGTCTATCTTTTTAAATCCCTTATACACCAAAACAGAAGTAACAGTTTAAAAAATTGCTTTTGAAGAAAACTTCTAATGAAGAAAACACTTCTAAAACAGGTAAAAATTTGTAGAAAAGTCCACAAAGTTAAAAAAGATCAAGTGCCAGCCTTTTCTTTTAGGTTCTGCCAGAAGGCCAGAAGCAGTTTAAAAGTGGATAAAATAATATGGTATGAAGAATTCATTGTGGTTTTAACGTAAAAAGTGTCAGAACCTAAAAGAAAAGGCTGGCACTTGATCTTTCTTAACTTTGTGGACTTTTCTACCAATTTTTACCTGTGTTAGAAGTGTTTTCTTCATTAGAAGTTTTCTTCAAAAGCAATTTTTTAAACTGTTACTCCTGTTGTGGTGTATAAGGGATTTAAAAAGATAGACTGGAAAAATTTAATTTTTTGTAAACAGTCTAAAAACTTTAATTAAGAAGAACAAATATATTTTGAGTTATGACAAAAATTGTAACTATAATTTTTTAATTTATATTGTCAGGTAGAAAAACTGAAAGTCGTAGGAAATGAATTCACAGCAAGGTTGGGTATTATATCATTCGTTTTAGATTTTAAACTTTTACAATATTTATATTAATTAAGAATCCATTTGCTATGGCATTTGATGTGAAGATTTCTTATACAGTATTTATATTTATTATAATTATATAAATTTATTTTAAGGAAATAAATTAATCTTTTTTACTAAGCTATTTTTTACAATTTATATTCAGATATTCGAATTTTCATCAGTAAGTCTATATTAAACAATATTTCGATTAATAATTCAAAGAACTAAAAATGTTTATTCGTAAAACACTAATTTAAAAAAATCTAAAATTATTTTTAGTGAAAATAAGACTTTGTCATAAATAAATGTACCACAAATAGGTGTGCTTGTCACAAAGACTAATTGCTATGTAATTCAAAATGTCAACAATCTTTAGACTACACTAATAAATAAGCACAATTGGTTAATGTTGCCTACGGTGACTAAAATGGCGGCTCGTCTTTGATTCCAGCAAACAGAAGAAAAAAAAGTGGGGACGCACGTTCTAACCTAACCTAACCTATTCTAATAATTTGGTTGGTAATAATTATGGTAATTTATTAGAATAGGTTAGGTTACGTTAGAACAGTGTTTCTCAACGGGGCGATATCGCTTCCATGTGGGCGTTTTTTTATGTTGAGGGAAGATTAGTAACAATTTATAACTTGGGGGCGAAAAACAATTTTCTGGGCGATATAGTAAAACATTATATTAAGAATAATTAGATATTTTATTCGTTATAACGTACAATAATTAAACAAATAACATTATACTAGTCACTAGTCTAGTCAATGCAGTACGAATTTGGCGTTAGCCTTGGCTCTGGGCATCGGAATTTTGAAGTGAAGGGTGCGATACTACGTTGAAGGGGGCGACGATTCGTTAGAGGTTGAGAGACACTAGGTTAGAACGTGCGTTCCCACTGTTTCCTTTCTTCGGTTTGCTAGAATCAGAGACGAGCCGCCATTTTAGTCATCAAAGGTAACATTAACGCACAATTTTATCATGCGATCGCTGGAAAAAGTATAACTTCCTTATTTTTCTTTTCTGGTCCAAAAATAGAGTATCGTTGAACTCGTCTCGGTCCACTTAGTTCAGATATATTCTCAAAGTTCCGAAATTCTATAGGTGATAATCTATATAATCCCCATTTTTCTAATTGTAATAATATTTTAAACCGTTTGATTTTTTGTATTACAATTTTTTACTTGATTGATGATTGATTCTATTAACTAATTTATTGATTGTTTGATTGTATAAACTTGATTCTTTAGATATCGAAAATTAAATAAATAACCATCTCATTTTCTTCTTATAATTCAAACTCAACCTTGGTTTGAATTATAAGAAGAAGGTTGAGTTTGAATTATAAGAAGAAAATGAGATGGATAAGAGCAAAGCAACAAAGAAACACAAGGCCGCAAGCAGTATCGGCAATAAATAAAGAACATTAAGTTAATTTAAGCGTACAGAAACGTTGCTGTTGTTCCAACAAAGATCTTATTTTCACTTCACTGAGTGCCTAGTAGGTAATGTGCAGATTACCTAGATACTCTGCACATTACCTAGGTAATTTGAGAAATGGAACAATTTTCGCAACTTTAAAGGATCACCCTAGTTAATCTGTAGATTAGCTAGGTAATGTACACATTAACGGCTTTCGAGCTTTAGTGATGACATATATATGTTTTTACTAATTCTAGATTTGAATTAACTTAAAAGTAATGATTGTTATTTTCTAGAAACCAGTTGTAGAAGTGGTTATAATGGAGGATCCCAAAGTAAGAAACATATTAAAGTATATTTGAGTTCAGAAAATTCTTTGATATTTAGTAAAAATTTTTATGATTTTGTAATTCATTTGTTAGTTGATAGAGAATTAAAACGAATTTTAAAATATTTTACCGAAAACTGTCTTTCACGATGCTGTAATGAATCGGCAATAAAATAATGTTTAAAAATAAAAAAAAAACCTTTTCTAAAAACAAGATACAGGATAAGTCAAATAACTTTACAATTGTATATTTTAGTAAATTTTCATTTTAAACTTAGTCAGCAGGATGGCTGGGGCTGTTAAAGCGTCAGCCTATTGCTCTGGGCTACCTAGGATCAAATCGGAGCAGAAAACTCCGGGATAGTTTTCGTAAGCGATCGGTTCCAGACGTATCGTGCCCAGTCCCCTAAAGTCAACGCTGTATACGAGGCCCCTTATTCATATTCGTCTGGTTCCATGAAGCTATAACGCTCCATTGATCGTGGAATTGGCCCATCGAAGTCTGGGCCAAGCCAAAAATTTCTGTTTTTTATCAAAAATTTAAAAAGAATATCCAATCGCTTAATTTCTTATAAATTCATTATTTTCGAAAATTTAGAACCTCATTAAAATTTTTTATTGAATTTCATAGCATATTTCGGTAAGTGTCCTCATCAGATAATTACATAAACATGCATTTTAATAAATGATAAACACTGAAATGGTAGGAAATCGGGCATTTGGATGTCGTTTTTAATTCGTTAATTCAATTGTAAATATTAATTCTAAATTTTCAATTTACCCTGCGTTTTTTAACACTATATTTTTATTTTGTATAAGACAAAATACATTTTGTTAAACACATGAAATTTCAATATACATATATTGAGATTTCATTTGAAATACCATAATTTACTATACTTTACGGTATTTAAGACGTATTTCAGCACAAAATATTTATAAAAAATGTGTGCATTTACTTGTAGCGTACTGAAGGCTGAAGAATTCATTAGCTTATGAGAATCGCAACTTCATATATAGAATGCAGGAAAAAGTTTTTACTTATTTTCTAACCATTACAGATGAATAAATAAACAATAATACGGAAATACATAATTTTACTTTTATGAAGTCTAAGTGAAATCACAAATATATTGTTGCCGAATATACATAAATATTGTTTTGTTTTTTTTTTCAAAATTTTACAGTTATCTTTTTCTTCACTCTGATGATTAAAATATCAATATAATGAATTAAAATTCCAATATTGGATATAAAATATAACAGTAACGAGGCCGGATAATCAGACGATTTGGGCGTAAACCCATCGCTCTTGAAGACTAACCCCAGGAATTTGTATGAATAGTCATTACTGGATATGTTGAACCTAGTCTTTCATTACCCGATTGCCCTCATTTTGGCTTGGTCCCACGATGAGCTTACTAAAATGCCATTTTATTATCTACGTTGTAAATAGAGGTAAAACTGAAAAAATACTACTGAGTGAAGTATTTAGTGTGGGGGGAACAATAGTGAAGTTTCTGAATTTAACTGGTTTATTAAGACGCATTCATTTTGTTAGAATAATACACAAATCATTTTGTTGTCATCTTTATGCTATTTTATAATGAGGAAGCGTAAAATGATTTCAAATTGACGTAATGATATACGCTTGTATAACATGTCATTACTTTATTGACGAATGAAAGGTGCAAAGAAAAATCACGTGAGATCTATTTCTTTCAACTTTCTCTCCTTCTGGACACTACGAAGTGTTTTCATTAATTGTTAAACTGGTCGATTCGGCCCGGTCAGTGGAGTGGCCGGGTTATGAAAGACGAGGCACGACATATTTGTTACGGACCACTCCATGAAATATTTTTTTCTTGTGGATTCGTTTCCGGGTTTTCAGAGTGGTAAGCGAACATCTTAACGCATGGCTATTCTTCCGCATAACTTCGATTATTAATGAATTAATTAATGAATTTTTTGTTTTTTTTGCAGGATTCTAAACAAATATAATGAAAGTACTATCAATATTGTATCACCAATGCTAATGTATAATTAAATGCAAATCTTCAAGACACGTAATAAATTTTTTCTGCAAATTTTTGGTTTGTTAATAAAACGATTATTCATATTTAAATATTGATTATTCTACTAATAATGTTGTAAGTTTTGATTGGTTGATTACTTTCACTTGCCATAAACAATTATAAACTACTGTATATGGACACATAAGTACGCACATTACAAACTGGCCTAACCTTCTATGGAGTTGAGTAATGAAACCAAGAGATGGAGAGTGATACGTCAAGTGGTACTATTAGTAGGCTAATATCTAATTGTCGATCTACTGGGAGTTTCACAATATATAGTATTTAAATAGTTCTTAATAGATGTTAACACCACTGACGTTAACAAATGTTTGTCAAGTTAAGGCCTCTTTATACCTGCAGGGAACGGATTAGAGAAGAGAACACGATATTACGAACAATACACACTTACGCACAATACTTCACATTTGCAGGGATCACCTTCTAATGTGAAGTATTGTGCGTAAGTATTGAATATGCGAATATGACAAATAGAAATATATTGAATAACAAATTTACGGCATTAAACAATACACGATTTTAGATAATAAAGATACAATATCATACAAAGAAATTTAACTACTGCTTGATTCATTACGACAAAAGAGATTAATAGAAGAAAAAGTTTGCATAAGCTCACTAGTGATCGAATGAATAAAATCGCTGAATTCTGGTAATTGATCGCAGGTTCGCCTCTCACATCCGACTGGTCAGATGGAATTTTGTTTGTTTTCTTCATACGTCAAACTCGTAAATGGAAGCTGTTTCCCATAGATAGGTTTCCCAGTTGGCATTTTTGCGTAGTAAGACAGTTAGGTGTTGCGTTGCCAAATAAGTAAACAAATCGAATTAAATTTTTCTCCAGAAAAATGATATAAAGTTAATGTAACATTTCTTCACTTACTATACTTAATTCTTAACGAATATCTTAATTTTTATTTTTCTTCGTGAAATTGTTCAACAATTATTACTTTAAAAACATTTTTAAGTATGGAGTGTATTCTCCATTTTTATATATTTATACAAATATATAAATATATATTTTTATAAATA